AAAAAAAAGAGTCCTGAGAGGTACACTCAACAAGAAAGAAGACATTCCAAGTCATCACATTTCTTTTACTCAAAACTGAATTATTTAGCTTAAAGCCCTGCTATGCTATCCAACAGTGGGGTCCTAGGAGTTGACCTTTTTCCTTGACCTCCTTTTTACCTCATTATTTAAGATTGAATTATTTTATATTTTTACACCTCAGAGGTCTCAGTATATAAGTAAAGACATTTAAGGGTAAAAAAGATCACAACCTATTGAAAGAAACAGAGAAAGTTATTCTGAGGCATCAAAAGTGAAAGAGGAAAAAAAGATTATAACACCTGGATAAGATATTCAGCTCTGAGTGTTTTGGCAACTAAGACAAAAAGGAAACACATTAAATTACATAGTTTTCACTTTCTGACAAAAAAGAAAGAATATAACTTCATCTACAGTGGCAAAAATATTTCCTGGAACTAATGCAAGCAATAATTCATCATGAGGTTTTTGTCTAAATGGAACTAAGGAAAAAGATCATAAGCTTTTGTTTCAGGAAAAAAAAAAAAAGGATTTTCTTTTAGTTTTGACGTAAGTATATAATCATGGTTTAGTTTTTTTTAACTCTTATCAGCCTCAGTTTTGTCTGTAAAAGTGGGGACAATGATATTTAACTCTGTGAATATTTAACTTAGCTACTTTTAAGCAAGTAATTTTGATCTAACACTAATTAATATAGAAAATAAAAACCCTCTATGGTCATGCCCCAATGTCTTAGAATTGTCAACCTAGAATTATCTCATCTGTTTTCTTTTTTCATTTAACACATACTTGGATAATTATGTAAAGGAGTGGGTGATCTCATTTCATAGTACAGGACCATCTAAAGTCTTTTTATTTTGGGGCACCTGAGTGGCTCAGTTGGTTGAATGTCTGACTTCAGCTCTGGTCATGATCTCAGTTCATGGGTTTGAGCCCCATGTCAGACTCTGTGCTGACAGCTCAGAGCCTGGAGCCTGTTTCAGATTCTATTTTTCTCTCTCTCTCTCTGCTCTCCCCTAGTTTGCACTCTGTCTCTCTAGCCCTCAAAAATAAACATTAGGGGCTCCTGGGTGGCTCTGTTGGTTAAGTGTCCAACTTCGGGTTAGGTCATGATCTCACGTTCCATGAGTTCGAGCCCCGCGTCGGGCTCTGTGCTGACAGGTCAGAGCCTGGAGCCTGCTTCAGGTTCTGTGTCTCCCTCTCTCTCTGACCCTCCCCCGTTCATGCTCTGTCTCTCTCTGTCTCAAAAATAAACATTAAAAAAATAATAAAAATAAAATAAAATTAAACATTAAAAAATAAAAAAAAAGTCTTTTTATTTTATTAAGTGTATTTATTTACTTTGAGAGAAGGAGAGAGAGAGAGAGAGACAGAGAGACAGACAGAGAGAGAGAGAGAGAGAGAGAGAGAAAATGGGTGAGGGAGACAGCGAGAGAATCCTAAGCAGGCTCTGCACTGTCAGCATGGAGCCCAATGCAGGGCTTGAACTTACAAACCATGAGATCATGACCTGAGCTGAAACCAAGAGTCGGATGCTTAACCCACTGAACCACCCAGGCACCTCAGGACCACCTAAAGTCTTATTGGAACTAAGTGACACTTAAATAAATTGTCCAGTGCAAAAAAGGCAATGAAAAACTTTAAAATGTGCATTTGATCACATGTGGATTTAAACAGAAAATTTAGCTGGGATTAAAGCAGTGACTCATACTAGACAATTTTCCCAGGGTCCTGCCTAGGGTGGGGCAAGCTCTCAGGTGCACTGTGCATGATCCTCAGAGTGGGCACATCCTATATTTTGTGCCCTAGGTGCTTTGTTTGCCTCACCTTAGTCTCAGCCCCGATTTTCTTTCTTTCTTTTTTTATTATTAAAAAAAATTAATATTTATTTATTTGACAGAGGAAGAGAGAGACAGACCACAAGCAGGGGAGGGGCAGAGAGGGAGACACAGAATCTGAAACATGCTCCAGCTCTGAGCTGTCAGCACAGAGCCCGATGCGGGGCTCGAACTCACTAGCTGTAAGATCATGACCTGGGCTGAAGTTGGACACTCAACTGACTGAGCCACCCAGGAGCCCCCTCAGCCCTGATTTTCACTTTCAAAATATTACATTTATCAGAGGTATTCTTATCCAACTGTTATCTATTGGCTATTCTAAGCACTTGGCCCATCAGAGCCATAAAATGAATAAATCAATTCTGCAGACTCTCTGTTTCATCAGGTAAATATTCAAGTGAATGGTCAAGCATTGCCCTGGGTCACCTGCCATTCCCTTCCATATAAGCAGTTTACACTTGCTTTTGTATCTGCATGTTCTATGCAAGTTGGCATTAAACTGTTTCTTAGAAAAAGATGAAAAATTTGTATCAAGTTTATTTTATTAAGCTTCAATTTTTATTTTGCTTTGAAAAGAAATAAAGCTCCTTTTCTTTAGATGTTTGGCATTAAGAAAAGTTATAATGTTGGATTAGTAAAATGTAATTGCCAAAATGGAGATCCTATCAAATGCATGAAAATTAACTGATAATTAGACATGCATCCACGCACATTTCATTGGTGTCATATAGTAGGAGTTTCATTTTGCTAGTATTTAATTTCTATGTTTAAACATATTTTCTTCTAAACTTACTCAATTCTCAACCCACTAAGTAGAACTTTGAGTTTTTATTTGGACTCATGAATAATGTGATTCCAAGCATGATGTATAAAATATATAAAGTTGCTCCTATCTTTTTCAGAGTGTAGCATAATCTTCTAAAAACAAGTGAGAATCGCCATTCCAAAAACATACTTGTTATGCAGCTTTATGGAAAAAAAGTAGCCTGGTATCGCTGAATGGACATCTGCAGTTACTATTTCCTAAAGAGTCAATTTTGGAAAACATTTGTGAAAATCCACATAGTGAATGAATCAGGCTTCCACAGTGAAGAAACAACTATTTGAAGGCAGAATCTTAGGACACAAGTGGTAGTAGATGGGGCCTGAAAGCCAGAAAAAAAGAGTAAGTATCTTCAGAGAAGCTCTTCCTAATCTATATCACCTGTTGTTAGATCTAGTTAGCTACACAAAAGTCATCTCTAAAATCTAGTCCAGGGACACCTTATCCCTTTCACCCAACATATAAAATACACCTTTAAGAGAACCTACTCCAAAGGCCATTTCTAAGACAGAGACAACCCTGCAATTCCCCTGACACCACTTCTAGGATATGCACTTCTGAACTGCTTCCAGTAATATTCCCCACTTCATCTCTCTCAATAATATCTTTCCAATAATTTCTTCCCAAATACCTGATATAGCTTTCCCAGACTAGGAAACAATGTCTTCAGGATACTTATAAACCAATGATCTGTTTTGAGCATTTCTTTCTCTGTTAGGATAACAAAATGGCAAAAACATGGCCAAGACAAGGCAGTGATAGTTCAGTGGAAAAAATGCACTGGATTAAAAAACTAGGCTTCATAATACCAACTGTTGGCGAGGATGCGGAACAACTGGAACACGCATTCATTGCTGACGGGAATGCAAAAGGTTGCAGTCACTGTGGAAAATAGTTTGGCAGTCTCTTATAAAGTTAAACATATACTTTCCATAGGACCCAGAAATCCTGCTCCTGGGGTATCTACCAAGAGAAAAGGAAACTGACATTCACACCAAAACACGTACACAATCGTTTACAGCAGCTGTATTATTTACAGACACCTCCAAATGGAAACAAGTCAAATGATCATCAACTGGTGAATGGAGTAACAAACTCTCGTATATCCATACAACAGAATATTCCTCAGCAACAAAAAGGAATAAATGACTAATATTTGCAGCAACATAGGTATATCCCTTTTTAAATTTTTGAGAGAGAAAGGGAGAGAGAGAGAGGGAGAATGAGTGGGGGAGGGGCAAAGAACAAGGGAGACACAGAATCTGAAGCGGGCTCCAGGCTCCAAGCTGTCGGCACAGAGCCTGACAACGCAGGGCCCAGACTCACGACCCATGAGATCATGACCTGAGCCAAAGCTCAACTGATTAAGCCACCCAGGCGCCCCCTCGGTGTATCTTTTTTATGGTAAGTGAAAAAAGTCCAACCTGAGAAGACTGATAATTCATTTATTCAACATTCTGGGGAAATGTAAAATCTTTTGTTGGAAAAGGTAAAACTATAGGGACAGAAAATAGATAAGGGGTTGCTAGGACTGGAGCTGGGGAGAAGGGTCGACACAAAAAGGGCATGAAGGAATTTCCTGAAGTGACAAAACTATTTTCTTTATTGATTATGGTAATGGTTATGAAACTGGGTGTGTCAGTCAAAAATCATAGAAATGTATGCTTAAACAGGGCATGAATTTTACTGTGGGTATACTGTACTTCAATAAGTCTGACTCAAAAAAACAAGAAAGAAAAATGGGGTTATCTCTTAGTTACTAACTGGCTTTGGGCAAGCCACTCGAAACTCATTTCTCCTTTGGGCAAGCCACTAGACATTCATTTGTCCTTTTATAAAATGAGGAAATTTTATTAGCTCTAAAGGATTTTTGGTGAGGAATAACAACAAAAAATCCTTTATGGACTCTAAAGTTCAACACAAATATTACACACTAGACATACATACAGCATATGGGCAATACAATGATGAATGAGACAGAGGTATGCTAAGGAAATATACTGTCTAGTGAGAAAGAGATAAAACAATTATTAAATAATGTGGAAATTCAATTCCAGATATATGAACAAGGCAATAAGGGGTCAATAACAAGGAGTATTCCAGGAATAAGAATTAACCCAAGAATAAAGTATAAATTAATTCACAATGAATAAAGTGTATCACATATTCAATATAAAGGACCAGATCACAATGAGACGCAAACATGAGAAGTCATTAATGCACACGGACAACTGGGATCCAGTAATCGTAACACAACACGGACTTTGAAAAAGCCTAAAGTAAAAATTATGACAACATGGAAAAAGTACCTCACGATGATTTAGAAGTTGTTCTAAATCTAATGCCATTTGATTCTTCATCTGTAGTAAAGCTGACTTTTCTTTATTCAAATTGCTGAAAAAAAACCAAAACAACCAAGTTTTAAAAAGTCATCATATTGGTGTAAATCTAATTAATAAATAGAAAAAAGCAAAAGGCTAAAGACAAATATGATGGCTTGAATTAAAGAGAAATTAAATTTATACTCTATAAAGATATCTATCAGACCATCCACTATAATGTTTGATTTAACCAACAGCTAGCTATTTTCTAAGAAGACTTTTTCTTTTAATAATCATTTGACAGTGCAAATGACATGTTTTCTGAGAATCTTTCCTGCCTAGTAGGGGTATAAAATTTGTGTTTTAAAGGTTACTATTTAATCCTGAAATGTAAAAAGATGAAGTGGGATTTATATAAAAGGTAAAGTATGTATGGGCAAAATAGTAAAACTCAAGATACTAGAAGTCAAATTAAAAATTTAACCTTAAAACTAAAAGTAACATTTTATAATTTACTGCACACTAAATTACCAGGTATATAATTGAATTAGATAAATGAATCAGATATTCAGTATGTGGTAAACTTGGGAAAACAATTTTTGTCTCTATATTCTTAGTTCAATTTTTAATTTCTAAGTCTGCCTTGTGAATTTCCCTTAGATAGGACCTGTTTTCTGATACGAAAGGGTGAAAAAAACCTAAATAGAAGAATATATTAAAAGATAAATATTTGAGGCATGATTTATATTGTCTGGAGTTTTATTATTCAACATATAAAAATTAATTAGAACCGTTAAATGAAATACTTTTGAAAGCCCCTGGAATGAATCTACTCAGCACTACAACGAGAATTAAGAAAAGCAACAGTGAATTAAAATACCGTAATTCCATAAATGTCAAAACAAAATCTGTGAAGGTAAAACTAGTGAGGATTATTTTGCTGAACAGGTAACATGTTTTAAGTTATCCTTTAACAAAATGGAAAGCCATCAATTTTTAAATTAGGCAGAAGTTTTTGTTTTTGTTTTTAAATTCAGGGAATAGTAGCAGGTATTCTGGAAGAACTGGTAATTCCAAGGACTTAAGAGGAAAAAGCTCACATTCTCTTTTTTCCTAGTAACCGTGAACTTCCCCAAGGAAGCACCACAGTTTGTCCTCTGAGAGAAAACACAAGATGCAATTCCGACTTTTGTTTCCAACTGTGCCACTGACACAAGTGTGTGGCATAAATCACACCACATGACTAAGCCTCAGTTTTCACATCTGTAAAAGTGGAAAATAATACTCATGTATGTCAAAGCGATATATGAATTATCTAGTGAAATGATTATATAAAGAATTGAACACATAAAACCTGACATAAATGTATATGGTATTACTACTTTAGATGAAAAACAAGTATCACAGAAAAACAGTAATTAAATGCCATACAGGTTAGCAGCTTAGCAGAAAAACAGATTTGACTTTCAGAATTAAGCATCAGAGATCTTACTGAGACTTGGAGTTGAAAAGAACTAAATAATATAATGTAACTGAACGCCAGATTCTGCCCGAGTCTTCCAAAGCCTGGTAAAGATCAGATGTTTCTGTAACTGTTGAATTCGAATCTATCTTTAGCTAGAATCATCATGAAGAAGATAAAACATTTTTCGAAATTAAAATAAACATCCAGTAACACAGGACTAGGATTTTTCGAGGAATAGAAATGTATTAATGTTCACACGCATGTTAATGTTCATATACATGTTACATACACATCGTATGTAAACATACACTCACATGCAGTACACATATGCACACATACATACATACTCTCAAATACCAACAGGCCCTTAAAATGCAGTGCAACAGGAATGGAGGAATGTTGAGGTGATAAAGGATTTTGATTGGATAATTCATTAGAAATCCTTTATATGTAGTGTTCAGTGTTTTCCAGAATAAAGTAAATATTCCATATTTAAATAGCAAAAATGGGGCGCCTGGGTGGCTCACTTAGTTGAGCATCTGACTTCGGCTTAGGCCATGAACTCACTGCTTGTGAGTTCGGGCCATGTGTTGGGCTCTGTGCTGACAGCTCAAAGCCAATCCTGCTTTGGATTCTGTGTTTCTCTCTGCCTCCGCCACTTGTGCTTGCGCGCGTACGCTCTCTCTCTCTTTCTCTTTCTCTTTCTCACACACACACACACACACACACACACACAAACATTAAAAAAAGTAAAAAAAATAAATAGCAAAAATAACTGTATAATACAGAATAAAAGCTAGGTGTATAAATTGGTTTACAGAGCAACTCTGTTCTATCTGCAAGATGTGGGTTTATGACAAACAGTACAGACTCCTCAGACAATACTTGGGCATATATTTTCTAAGTCTCAGCCTTCTCCATAATATACTCTTAAACCACAAAGGAGGCCATCTTCAACACATGGGTCTCTAAAACTGAATATGACGATTATTATACTCTGTGTTCTTCCAGTATGTATGTAATTACTCAAACGAAGTTTAGTCTCCTTAAGACACATTTCACAACAGTGGAAATTTACCTTTAAAAATACAAAGCTTCCATGCGTGACTCATAAAGCAACTACAAAACAAATCTCCTTATAAGCACATCTATCGTGAATGGCATATTACACCCATAATTGTTTAATTCACTGTTAATTATTACTCAGAAATTCATGTTTATGGCTCTGTGTCACCTGCTATATGAAAACATATTCCTGATATACTCTTCTTTAACTTCCTGGATCAGTATACCCTGACTTAGCTTTACAAGGCTAAGTAGTTTTTTCTTCTTAAACTACTAGTAAAGAATAAACTGAGAACTGACAACCGGGAAAGGAAATTTATGCTAATTATTCTCTTTCCATGCTTCGTTCAGTTGTGAACTATAGATCAAACAAACTATATAACCCAGACTGTCTCTTGTGGCTTGGTAGAAAGTTTACCAGTACTACTTTTAGAAGGGATTATTACTTTAATGATAGGGGGATTTAAAGTAGTTAATAGTGATATCTCAAATGTTAGCTTTTAATGTGTTTATAATGATTTAATTTTAGTACATATTTACTCTAATCTTTCTACACATTGAATATGTATAGCTAAATTTGCAAGTCATGGGTGTGGTATAGTGGTATTGTTTTATTTTCTAAGAAAATGATAAAATTACTCAGTTCTTTAAAGAGCTTTTACTGAATAGAGAAATATTTAAAAGGTAATCATTTAACTGAAACCATAAAACTCCTAAAAGAAAGCATATGCAATAAACCCTTGGACATTGGTCTCAGCAATTATTTTTTTGGATCTGTCTCCTTAGGCAAGGGCAACAAAAGAAGATATAAACAATTGGGACTATATCAAACTAAAAAGCTTTGAAACTACAAAGGAAACCATCAACAGAACACAAAAAGGTAACCTACAGATAGATGAATGGATAAAGACATAGTGTGTATACACACATGCACACACATGGGAATATTAGTCTGTTATAAAAAAGAATGAAATCTTGCTATCTGCAATAACATGGATAGACCTAGAGGGTATTATGCTAAATGAAGTAAGTCAGATAGAGAAAAACAAATACTGCATGATTTCACGTACATGTGGAATCTATAAAACAAAACAAATGAACAAACAAAACAAAACAAAACAGGAAGACTCATAAAAACTGTTGAAAATAGTCGTAGAACTGGTGGTTGCCAGAGGGGAGGGGTCCGGGATTTGGATAAAATAGGTGAAGGGGATTAGGTGGTACAAACTTCCAGCTATAAAATAAGTAAGTCACGGAGATGAAACGTATGGCATAGGGAATATAGTCAATAATACTGTAATAAGTTTGTATGGTGACAGATGGCAGCCACACCATGGTGAGCATTTTGTAACGTATGTAAATGTCTAATCTCTATGTTGTACACCTAAAACTAATATAATATGGCATGCCAGCTATACTTCAATTAAAAAAATAATCAATTAATATAAATATTCCTTACAATTAAAATCAACATGCAGCAAAAAGGAATAGGCATTTTCAAGGAACAACCACTCAGTAATCTTTTTGAATGGGTCATTTAATGTTTACATTTCAAATTAATGAAGGACAAAAGGAAGGGAAGTAATATTTACCAAGTTTCCTCATGTGCCAGAAGCTCTATATAGGTCATTTCATTTAATTTTCACTTCTAACCCTTGATGTTCACGCTAAGATCTGTATTTTACAGGCACATTTACTATGACAAAAGAAAGCAGGCTGATGTGTGCTCAAAGCCCAGGATAATTCCACTACATCTGAAATGTCATCAGCTCAGAGTAGGAGTGATGGTAGATAGACTGCTGTATCTGACTCGTTGATCGGGCTATTTTTATGGTATTTCATTCATGTCATTAAGGTCCATTTAACAGCATCTCAAAGGTCATAATTAACCTACTGAAAGCACCTTAATTTTTCACATTACAAGGTAGCATAGCTACTTCAATTAAGAGCAAGGTTTCATATCCTATGAAATACTAGTTCAGAATCTATTAAAATATACAGTAAATTTATGAAACAGCTTTAAAGGACTCAGATTTAAGCACAAAAATATTTTTATATATTTATATTTTATGCCAATTTTCGTAATTGGCATAGTTTTTATGATTATTGTTGCTGTTACTAAGTGTGAGAAAGAAGCCCATTGCCCCAATCATAGGAGAGACATGGAGATGAGGAGAACAGTGAAGTGAGGCTTTAATCAACATTCTTGCAAGAGCTGGTGTCTGATGGACAGATCCACTCAGAGGGGTTACAGCAGGCAATTTATCTCCTTGCCGGAAGTCCCTCCCTTGATTCCTCATTGGCTGAGTACTACAGAGGTTACAGCCTTACCCAGAAGTCACTTATGCCCATGTAAGGCCACAAAGTAGCCTGACTGGAACAAATGTACATTCCTTGAGGTGACGCAGAGACTTCAGTTCTTTGGCACATGCTCATTGCAAAGCCAACGAAAAATAAGCCCATGAAATGGAGAGGGGAAGAAGAACCAGGAAGTGAAGTGTCTAAGGGTTTGGGACTCGACTGTGTGTGTGTGTGTTTGGGGGGGAGGTGGGGATGGGGATGGGGGTGGGGGAGGGTTTGTACATATTTCCAATAGGTTGTAAACCTATTGCTAACTAGACAGCACAGCTTTTATTTGGTATTCCTGAAAATGAATCATCTCACTTCTCACATTAAGGGAGTCCTAATTTTTGTCAAAATTCAAGATATTTTGAGAAATGTTACTTCTTATTTTTAAGGTAATTCTCAACATGAAAATTTGTTACATGTCAGACCAATATTCAAAAGAGCAAACAGTTATATAGCATTCATAATGTGTAGGCACAGTCCTATATATATCACCGAGATTATATCATTTAATCCTCAAAATGACTATATGAATTAGGTACTGCTAGTGCTAGAGTACTACTCTCAGTTCACAAATGAGAACAAACTGGCTGTACTGTCCAATAACATAGCCATTAGCTGGCCATACGTGGTAATTAAGATGAAAAGTAATTTAATTAAAATTAAAAATTTAGTTCTTCATGTGGGTAGTGGCTACCATACTGGACAGTGCAGATATGGAATATATTTACCATTACAGAGAGTTCTATTGGAGAGTGGAGGTTTCAAGAGTTTAACTGACTTGTTCTAATTCAAAGCTGAGTACTGAGCTAGATATGAACCCAGGCAACCTATCTGTAGAGCCTGTATTCCCTTTTAAACTCTGTTTTTTAAAAACAAGTTTATGTGAATATTTTGAAAGAGAGAAAATATAACAAACCCACATGCATCCATCACCTAGCTTCAACAACTGTCAATTCATTAAAGCTCCAAATTTAACTACTCTTTTACACTTTTTTTTTTGGCTTCTCTTCCTTAATTACATTAGTTAACGAAAAATTACCCCTTATTCAGAATAGAACATAGGGAGGCAGTATAACATAATGGTTAAGAGTATAGAATTGGAAAGCAGACAGATCTGGATTCAAATTTTGGCCCTACGACCAAACAGTATGTTCTTAGATAACAAGTTACTTAATTTCTCTAGGGCTGAATTTGTTCATCTTTATAGTTTCCTCCTACAGCTAACTATTTAATAATTAATATTATTAATTAATCTGTATTAAAGATTTTCAGCTCTCTTAATTCTTAGTTAAATAAATATTCAAATAAACTTATTCGAAGGTAACTGTGAAAGGTAATTTTTCCACAGGACTTTTATGTTTTCACTCCAAGATTAAAAAGGTAAAAAAAAGATTCTACACAAAATTTCAAATATAACAGAAGTATATAATACAGGAAGAAAAAGTTCTTCCCTCAATTTCCCTAAGATAACCAAGTACCCAGTGAGTGATAAGACATAATTTCTATTGCCCCTAGTAGCTATTTATAGAAGAACTGTTTAATTGGTTGAATTATTTAACAGTTTCTTAATTTGGTTTATTTATTATTCAGTAAATTTAATGAATACTGGCTATACATATTCTAAATGTAATTAACTTCAAAATCAATCCAAAAATAAATTCTTACTTATATGGACATTTTAAAGCATAAATGTGATTTAAAATTATTTTAACCTATCATCTTAAGATTAAAAAGATCAGGAATAAAGTTTTGGACCAATTATTTTGGTGGGATAGAAACAAGAGAAGGTGGTTATTCTGATTCATCAAAAAGAATACTCTCCCATACTTCAGAGTTAATTACCAGTAGCTTTATACTTTGATTATATACCTTAGGAAATCTGAATTTAATATATTCTCCTTATTGTTTTCCAATTCCTTAATTTAACAATTTCTATTCCCACCTAATTCTTTGCTTCTATATTTATGAATTGGCTAATAATTTATCTAAATTATTCTAACAACCTTAAAATCCAATAACTAAGCCAACTAATCAACCATCCATGAGTTAAAATCTTTCTTTCTGTATAACATCACTCTTTTACTCCAATTTAAAAAGACTAAAATGATTGTATAGATGAACAGTTAAAGAATGTGAATGGCTATTAAGTGGGGCAAGTCCTTTGGATAAGGTGTCATGTAAGAAAACAATTTAAATTTAAGGAAGTGAAAGGGGTTTATTTATATTTAGGTGATTCATGGGTTACTTCATGTAAAGAGTCAGGGGAAGAAAACCCTAAAAAATTCCTTGGCAAAGTCAACAGAATCTAAGCAAATGTGTGTATTTTATCTGTTTAAAAAGTTATTTTGTCTCCACAAATGGCATCTGGTTATGTTCTCCCTCACTTTGGTTAAACCCCATCCCACTAAAGAATTGTAGGGGAACAAGGACAGGATAGCTTTTTGCTTCCTAGGGTGGGGGGAGTGCTGTTAGTAAGCATAGCACTGTTAGGTCCAGGCTAAGACTTCTGATCACAAGGTGGAATGTGAGCACCTAACGTGACGTGACCTAAGTTTCTCTAAGATAAATTACATTTAAAACCATGTTCATTATTTACCATATTATTTAAACCATTATTTAAAACCATATTCATTATTTTTTCTTCCCAATTTACAACCTTAGTTCATGGATAGCACTATTATGTTTACGTTGCCTTTATAAAAAAAAAAAAAAAATGAACAGATGATTTTACCTGACATCTTTCTCAAGTTGTGTAACATGCTCTTTCAGCGAATCAATCTTAGAGTCTCTCTGACGCACTGATTCAATGAGATATCTGTAAGGTTGCTGAGTCTGGTTTAACAGAGAATTGGCCCTGTCAAGCTAAAGAAAAACAGATTTCATGAAAATCTACAACATTTTATAAGAAACTGAAGATTATTATTCTAGCACAGGTACAGTATGCCAAAACTCCCTTGCATGAGTTACTCAGAAGAGCTTTTCCTATGTAACTTTGAAGGTTTTCAAAATTATTAATCAATAGAACTATTCTTTATAATATAATAATAATAATAATATGTAAACACAAAGAAAAGTGTTAAAAAAAATATGAATTATTACCAGTTTCAGGGACGGGTCACCTAAATGTTTTTGCCATTTGTTGGTTTGAGAAGATATGTGACAAAATTTATCTCCTTTTAATAAACATCCATTAGCTAAAAATAAAAACCTTTTATTTGAGCTTTATTTCTATTAAAAATAATATAATGACATTGCAATTTAGCATTTTTCTACATCTTCATATTTCCTTCCATCTTTATTTCTAAAACTGATAATTTATGAAACTAAATCACTAGGTATAATGAAGTTTTTTTTAACAAAAATTGTAGGGGCACCTGTGTGGCTCAGTTGGTTGACTGTACCACTCTTGATTTTGGCTCAGATCATGATCCCAGGGTTGTGGGATAGACCTCCTCAGTGTGGAGCTTAAGATTCTCTTTCTCGGGGTGCCTGGGTGGCTCAGTTAAGCATCTGACTTCGTGACCTCAGGTCATGATCTCACGGTTTGTGGACTGGAGCCCTGCACTCGGCTCTGTGCTGACAGCTCAGAGCCTGGAGACTGCTTTGGATTCTCTCTCCCTCTCTCTGCCCCTCCCTGGCTCGTGCTCTATCTCTCAAAAATAAATAAATGTTAACAAAAGTTTAAAAAAATAAAGATTTTCGGGGCGCCTGGGTGGCGCAGTTGGTTAAGCGTCCGACTTCAGCCAGGTCACGATCTCGTGGTCCGTGAGTTCGAGCCCCGCGTCGGGCTCTGGGCTGATGGCTCAGAGCCTGGAGCCTGTTTCCGATTCTGTGTCTCCCTCTCTCTCTGCCCCTCCCCCGTTCATGCTCTGTTTCTCTCTGTCCCAAAAATGAATAAACGTTGAAAAAAAATTAAAAAAAAAAATAAAGATTCTCTCTCTCTCTCTACCCTATCCCCACTCTCACTCTCTAAAAAAAAAAAAAAAAAAATTACAGTTACAATATAAAGAATATAAAAGTCACCAGCTTAACCATTGTATAGTACACAATTCAGTGGCATTACATATATTCATAATGTTGTATAACCATCACTAATCTCTATTCCTGGAACGTTTTTATCAATCCCAATGGAAACTCTGTATCCATTAAACAAAAACACTCCCTGCAACCCCGCAGCCATTAGAAACCTCTATCTGTCTCTATGAATTTGCCTATTCTAGATCTATAAGGGGAATCATATAATATTTGTCATTTTGTGTCTGCTTATTCCACTTAATGTAATGTTTTCAAGGTTCACCCATGCTGTACAATGTATCAGAACTTCATTCCTTTCTATGGCTAAATAATATTCCATTGTGTGTTTATAGCACATCTTATTTATTTATTCATCTGTTGATGAATACTTGGGTTGTTTTCACTTTTTTGGCTATTTTAATTAATGTTGCTACAAACAGTGGTGTATAAATATCTGTTTGAGTCCCCATTTTCTTTTCTTTTTTTTTTTTTTAATTTTTTTTTTCAACGTTTATTTATTTTTGGGAGAGAGAGAGACAGAGCATGAACGGGCGAGGGGCAGAGAGAGAGGGAGACACAGAATCGGAAACAGGCTCCAGGCTCTGAGCCATCAGCCCAGAGCCCGACGCGGGGCTCGAACTCACGGACCGCGAGATCGTGACCTGGCTGAAGTCGGACGCTTAACCGACTGCGCCACCCAGGCGCCCCTGAGTCCCCATTTTCAATTCCTTTGAATATCTGCTAGAAGTGGAGTGAAATTGCTAGGTCATATGGTAATTCTATATTTAACTTTTTAAAAAGTTAAAAAATTTTTTTTTTCTATAGTTAACTTTTTGAGGAACAGGCAACTGTTTTGCACAGCGGCTGCATCATTTTACATTCCTATTAACAATGCACTTGGTTCTACTTTCTCCACATCCTCACCAACACTATCATTTCATGTGCCTATTGGTCACTGTGTATCTTTGGACAAATGTCTATTCAAGTCATTTTCCCATAATTTCAATTATGTTGTCTGCTTTTTTGTTGTGGAGTTATGGGAGTTTTTTTTTTTTTCTTTTTTTTTAATTTTTAAAATGTTTATTTATTTTTGTGAGAGAGCAAGAGCGAGAGAGAGAGAGAGAGAGAAGGAGACAGAGCACAAGCCAGGGAGGGGCAGAGACAGAGAGAGAGAGAGAGAGAGAGAGACAGAGAGTCTGAAGCAGGCTCCAGGCTCTGACCATATTAGACATATGACTTGCAAATATTTTCTCCCATTCTGTGGGCTATCTTTTCACTCTCTTGATTATGTCCTTTGATCACAAAAGTCTTTAATTTTGATGATGTCCAACTTACCTAGTTTTTTCTTTTGTTGCTTATACTTTTGGTATCGTTTTATTTTTTAACATTTATTTTGAGAGACAGATAGAGAGCGGCAGGGGAGGGGCAGAAAAAGAGGGAGACAGAGAATCCTAAGTTGGTACCATTTTTAAGAAACAACTGCCAAGCCCAAGATGATGAAAATTTTCTATGTTTTCTTCTATAGTGTTACATTCTTAGCTCTGAAATTTATGTCTTTGATCCAGTTTGAATTAATTTTTGTAGACAGTAGGATAAGGATTCTATTTCAATGTTTGACATGCAGATATCCAGTTTTACCAGCACCATTTGTTGAAAAGACCATTGAATGGTCTTAGCAATCTTACTGAAAACCTTTTGACCATATATGAAGGGTTTATTTCCAGACTCTCTATTTTATTCCATTAGTCTTATCTATCTATCCTTATGCTAGTAACAACACTGTTTTGACTACTGTAGCTTTGTGGTACATTTTAAAACTTGGAAGTGTGTCTTCCAACTTTGATTTTCCTTTTCAAGATTGTTTTGGCCATTCAGGGTCCCTTAAAATTGCATAGGAATTTTAGGATGGGTTTTTCTATTTCTTCAAAACATGCTGTTGGGATTTTGATAGGGGTTATACTGAATCTATAAATTGTTTTGGGCAGTATTGTGATCTTAGCAATATTAAGTCTTCTAATCTATAAACATGAGATGTCTTTCCATTTATTAGGTCTTTTAAAGTTTCTTTAGCAAAGTTGTGTAGTTTTCAGTGTACAAATCCTTCTCCTGTTTGATTAAATTTATTCCTAAGCTTAGATTTTATTCTTTTTGATGCTATCATAAGTGGATTTGTTTTTGTAATTTCCTTTTGGATTGCTTTTTCTTAGTACATTATGTACAATCTTATATTAGACCTTTTCACTTTACCTTTATTATTTTTCCAAGCTCTCAGAGTAACTTAATTTACGATTTTAATGGCTACAAAACTGTCTAGGAAGCCAACATACCATAATTACATTGCTTATAGTAATAAACCTTTAGGATGTTATCAATTTATCAATTGCATCATAAATAATGTTGCAACAGACTTCAAAATTACTTTTTTCTTTAATTAATGTTTTCTTTGTGAAGTTTTTCATAACAGAAGTTGCACTAAGTTTAAGGACAACGTAATGCTCTTGATACATAAGACCAAGATTCTTTTCTTAAGGATTTTAACTTATATATCCAACCAACCTTGGTTTTTGTTGTTGTTGTTGTTTATTGCATTTGCTCTTTTTTCCTAAGCAGATGTAAGATGTAGGTCACATACAGCACTGTCAGTATCCGTAGGCCCCTACTTTGGTACCTAATGATTTCTCAGAAAAGGTATTCTAAAGTTGGATATGCAAAAACTGAACAAATCACTACAGAAGTGGTAAACACCTATTATAAGAATGAGGGGTGGAGAAGGGAGTACTTTATTACACAGAACAAAATTGCCACAAAATTCCTACTTTATGACCTTAAAATATTCTTTGCCAATAAAATTCTAGCCTTGTATATGTTTCAGTATTTTTTCCTCTTTCCTTCATAGTTCCTAACAAGTTCAATGGAGGCTAAAGATTTGCTCTTTTTCTGGGACAAGAAATGACTTTTTTTCTCAAGTGAGTTACATTTACAAGATTTATTTTTTTTTAACATTTTATTTATTTTTGAGAGACAGAGAGACAGAGCATGAGCAGGGGAGGGGCAGAGAGAGGGAGACACAGAATCTGAAGCAGGTTCCAGGCTCTGAGCTTTCAGCACAGAGCCCGATGCAGGGCTCAAACCCACGAACCGTGAGATCATGACCTGACCCGAAGTCAGATGCTTAACCGACTGAATCACCCAGATGCCCCTACAAGATTTATAGATATATATTTTAAGATCTAAACATATCCTTTATTTTAGTACCCACATAAAAGAAATGAGTGACTAGCAGCCCAGAAGCTGAAGGTGTAGAGAACAGCATGATGGATATAATGGAAGGTATAGAGGAAGGCAGAAGAATCAAAGGCAGAAACAATCATTGTTTTTTTTGTTTTTTTTTTTTAATTTTTTTTTTTTCAACGTTTATTTATTTTTGGGACAGAGAGAGACAGAGCATGAACGGGGGAGGGTCAGAGAGAGAGGGAGACACAGCATCGGAAACAGGCTCCAGGCTCTGAGCCATCAGCCCAGAGCCCGACGCGGGGCTCGAACTCACGGACCGCGAGATCGTGACCTGGCTGAAGTCGGACGCTTAACCGACTGCGCCACCCAGGCGCCCCAGAAACAATCATTGTTAAAGTGAACAGCCTTGAGGTCTAGGTGGGTAAGGAGGAGAGTGAAGCCAAAAGGTGGTTGACCAGCTAGCTGCTGTAGAATATCTGTTTGCAGATTGAGGACTACTTTGTAAAAGTTATTTAAATGATTTGACTAAATTATATTAAAAATTTTCCTTTTGGTTACATTAGCCCAGGAAAAGAAATTCCTCAAAGATAAGGAAACGAACAGTGAAAAAAAAA